TGGTAGAGGATTTTCATAGTCCCAACTCTCGCTAGTATTTCGTGTGACAGAGAGTCTCGATTGTTTGGCAAATTCTACCTTGAGAGAGCAACAACCCGAATATATATCAGCTCCATTAATATGACGTTTGCATGCTCGGGCCTCAGCGACTGAAGAAAACTCAACCATCGCCTACACCAGAGATAGTCAAACAACATGCTGAAACTAACCTGGACCTCTTTGCGACGGAAAACTACAATTCGCAATACCTTTCCATGGCGATTTGCAACCTGGTGTATCACGTCCACATTTATCGGGTAGTGTGCGTTATATATTGTGAGTAAGAGAATGTTGTTCTCGGAAGGAGGACAACGTTCATCGCCGTATTCCTCTGTCACACCGGCACGATGAATTATGCGCTTGGATGTACTGTAAGCTACCCGAATGCGTTGATTTCCAACAAGAAATTGTTGTTCGGCAGCACTAAAAGGTGGAAACACGAAGACGATTACAAAATACAGCAGTCATTTGACACTTTCATACACCATAACACGTCAATGAAGTTTAAATAATCAACAAAAGACTCATGAAGAAATTGATAAAATGCAAAGTAAAATGGGAGCAAAATACGATAGAAAGACTCCATACACCTAAATCGGTAACCGGAAAGAGAAGCTACAGATACCCATGGACTTAAATCTCGTCACCCAGAGCACATAAATGTCTGCAAAAAATCGGAACTGAAGCAAAAGTGAGATAATTGTGCTTTTACCCCGATACACTTTGAGTGGTGTTTTGCGTTGTATCAAGTACTGAAATATCTAGAAACCCAGAAAGACCAGGAAGGTCAAAATTCCCTCTTTGTCCTGTTTGACTTCACTTTTTACATATAACTCTGGACTTGGGGAATCTAAATCGAAGCCCGCCTGGGGGCATAGAATGGGTGCCCGCCTACAATCAAATCGGTGGGGCGTCACTTGAGTATGAATTTATTATACTCCGCTACGGTGCCTACAGCCAGAATACAGATGAGACGCGTCTGGGTTATGAGGACAGAAGCCTTGCTCGAATTTATAAAGTAGACAGTAAATAATAGCATGGAAAGCTATTCAGTTGAGAGGAAATCAGGCCGAAAAAAGGTCACGAAGAAGAACCAGACATAGTAGCTGCTGAAATATCAGACTCAACAAGAGGTGACTATTTACAGGTAGATGCATCGAAACTTACCGAGCCACTACCTTGTCAGCACCGCTTTGATCCTCAAATTCAACAAGTGCTTGTCGTTTATTCGGCATTATCGTTATTTCGCGAACAGCACCATATTGTTGGAGCATCTTCTCCAAATCTATTTCCAAAGTGTGTTCCGGCAGATCACTAAGGTGAATGACAGGCGATGGCTCGATGTCACCCCATTCTTCAGGTCTATTTCGTTTGCGACTAACAACCGCCATCTGGATAGTGTATTGTTCACACGATTTAATGCCGCCAAAACTCTTTAGTCATTAAAACGCATGATAACTTCATCCGAAATGGGCCTAGGTTTATGTTCAGACTCCTGGATACAGAGGTGGTGCTAAAACGTGATTCACATTCCATAAAGTATATGTTAAACTTATGGGCTTCTGGACAGCAGGAGCCTTTTAACCTGTTTCCAATCCGAAGCTAGCATGGCACATACTCATTTGGACTCCAGGTCTCCCCGCTCTGACTAAATCCATTCTAATGCTCACTGGGTGTTGTGTGTGAGAATCACTGCAATG